AATTAATATAAAAGATCATAATTTATCCACTTATTTTGCTATTTTTCTATAGTGTATAACCTATAGACTCCTCTTTTTGAGATTATTTTATTATAAAAATAATTTGTTAAATCGACATGAATTGAAATATATCAAACATGAAACATTCCATATTGTTTTATTATGGAATTGCTATTAGATATAATCCTCTAGTGATATTCTACAATTAGGAGATATCGAAATTGTAGATAGCAATTGCTTTCATATCAATAATTCCATAGATAGCATAAATAATAGGATTTACTTTTTATATTTTGATTTTATTGAATATGAATTGTTTAATAATAGTAAAATCATATGTATTTATTGGAAATAATCTAAAATTTACTAACATTCATAGTAAATAGACAAATATAAATATGAATCTTATTGGTACATTTCAATAGATGAATTTGATTTTCTTCTAATTTATTAACATTCCTTTTCCGATTAAGAGAATAACAGATAAATTCAATATAAAAAAGATTAATACCTTATCGATACATCTGAAAAGTATTGGATATAAATGGAAAAATTCAAAGTTTTTGAATATCAATGATAATTTATAATTATAGATTATTTAATAAAACAAAAAGTTTAAGTTAACAATTTTTAAATTAAGACATAAGCTCTGAATATTATGATAAATTAATCCAGAAATTACAATGAAGAAAAACCAAATTTTTATAGATGGTCATATTTTTATAATGAAAATCAAGTAAATTAATTCTGTAATAAAGTTGTTATAAAATGAAAACTTATTTTCCTTTATTCAATTCTTTTTGATAATAACTATTTTTTTATAAACCTTTACAGTTAAAAATATTGAAAAATAAAACTAGATCTATTATTAGATAATATTCTAAAATTAATTTAAGAAATAAGTAAACCTTATAAATCTTTTTTACATTAGGGTTAAGATTAATATTTGCAATTAAAGCATCCATCATATTTAATATGGTTTCCATTTTCACATTACTCGATTCCTATAATCATTCCATCTCCACAAATACAATTATAATGACAAGATAAAGTAGGAGGAGATTCATTACATGTGATACAATGAGCTGAACATTGAAATTAATAATTATAACATAAATCACCCATTATGCTATATGTTTTTATTATCTTCACATTTTACATATTCAATTAGTTGTAAATCTCCACAAATAGGTTCATCTGTTATCGGGCAATCTATAATTATTATTTTTTAATAATTGTAGAAACACTATCTAATTAATAATTACAAGGGTTTCATTCATATTTTACTCCTTTTAATATTCTAGTTAAATTAATATCACAACGTATCAAAAAACATTTGTATTTTTTTCAAATGAAAAATATTTAAAAAGTATAAAAGGATAAAACTAAGATATCCCTTTTGATTATATCAATGGTTGTATTAAAAAATAAACCGTAATTATTACATAAAAATATATTTAGCACTCTTGAATTCACTTTTAATTCAAGAAGATACTATCAATAAAATATTATAAGTTCAATCACTAAAAGTTAGTCAATCTTATTAAATTGATTAAGATTGTAATGAATTTTAATGAAATTACAAAATGAAAAAATTAAGATATATTTTCGAAATAATACAATATAATATTTAAAAATTAAAGAGATGTTGACATATTTATTTTTGTATATTATTATTTTCTTAAAAAACCATTTAAGTCAAGTTAATTTATTTATCATTTATTTCATTCATAGAGTTGGTAAATTTATCTAATGTTTTGATTTATAAAGTACTTAGTTATATTTTAAAGTTTGATTTAATTCAATTGGATTTGCAAAAAGTTAATTTCTAAGATTATGTAAATTTTATTGAGTTAGCAGAATACATTGTAAAATAAATGATATTATGTGAAAAACTTTTATTTTATTAAATATGGTGATGGAGGGATATTAAAAAATATCATTAATTTATAAGAAACTTGTCCTTATTAAGAATTCTATGCTAATTTGAAAATTAAATTTGGTATTCTTAGAATATATTGGATAACTATTTGAAAAATATATAGATCAAGTATCTCAAATACTTGTCTTATATTAAATTTTATATAGTTTTTAGCAAATAACTCAGTATTCTATTTAAAAATAATGAAAAAATTATTACCTGATCCATTTAATTTTATATCTTTAGAAATTTTTAATATTATTATCTTTCAAAAATATAAAATTTAAGAATTCATACTAATTCCTTTTATATCTGAAAAAAATGAAAATCATAAAATAGAATAATTCTAAGAATCAATGGTTTATTTGAAATAATTGATATAAATTGTCTTAAAAATTATTAAAAATTACCTTTTAATTCCATTCCCCAATCTCAAACCGTATTGATTATACCCTCCAATTAGAATCAATTATTTGAAGCGATAAATGATATTCTATGATCTTATTGATTATAATCTTCATGTTATTCAATCCGACACCTTGTTTAGTACCTTCTGAATTATTATACCTCCACCACTTAAAATATATTAATTTAAATCATCAAATTTTTAATTTTTATTATTATAAACTAAATGGCTTTCTTCTACTCTTTTACCATCCAAACTATATTGACCCTTAAATTTTAATTAATTCAAACTAAATAATCCAATCATTTTTTACTTAAAAAAAATCTTATGTTATTCTAAACATACAGAAATCTTCACTTCACACAGATTATCATACCCTACCCCACTATATTATTAATTAATAATTATTTAAATTTTATTTCCTGTAAATATTATATCCCAATCTTTAACTTAATGGTCACACTAATTATATCCTCTTTAATATAGAATTTAATTATTGTTTGTATTCACTATAATAATGATTTACTTAATGAAGCTTTCTTGCAATTCTATCCATCTATCAATATCCAAACTTTATTGATTATACCAACCATTTCAACTAAACCCACTTAACAAATTTAATTTTTCTATATTAGCCCTTAATTTCAGTTTCCATTCCTTCCCAAAGTTCTTTTCATTTACCAATCTGTTAGTTTATACTTCCAATATAACCAGTCCACTTTATTATTTGAGCTAATTAATATTCTTAATGATTTAAATAGGCTTTTGCTACAAATCACAAAAGATAAATCCACTTTTTTTTAATAATACAAACTTTTTATATATTTATTATCTATATTTTTTATGAGAAGGTAGTAATGGATATTTTTGATCATTTTTAGTTTTTACTAAACTAATAATTAGGTAAAGATAAATATTTCAACTAATAAAGAAAGTATAATATTAATTATTACTTTTATCAATTTAATTCAAATATACAATATATAAAGATAATAATTTTAATTAAATATGTAAGGATGGAATTATTTAATTGGCTTATTTATTCTTAATAAGAGATTCTTAAAAAGACTAGATATAGAAAGCTAGAAAAATTATAGAATATTAAACTGATCAATAAAATAAATAAAATCAATCAATTTAATTTTCAAATAATAATAATAATTTGGATATTATAATTAATCATTTTTAATGGAAGCTTATTTTTAACTTCAATTTCTGTGACTTTATTAATGAAGTATCCATCATGGGTTTGGGTTTGGGTTTGGGTTTGGG